TTGTCCCTTGGCTGCAGGCGATGGAAGGAGTGGTGGAAGAATCGTTGCGCAAGACGCCCCAAATCGAGGTTCCCGATGACCTCCTCGAAAAGATACATCTTTATAACGCCATGCTCCAATTGGGTATCGCCAAACGTTTCCAGCAGCCGCTCATAGATGCACTTGTGCTTCAGATGTACAAAACCAACCTTAAGGATTGCCATCTGGACACGCTGGAAATGGACCGTAGGGACGTTTCTTACTCGGCGAGGCCATCGCAGTCCTGGAATCCTGTTTCTTAATCATTTTCATCCGGTACATACTCTTCTCAGATCCGAGGCCCGATCGCCATGACGTCGAACCAGTTTAGTAAAGCAGTTAAGGCACGACCCCACCTTCTGAGGATGAGCGGTCGGAGGACAAGAGGTACCTGCCTGAACGCACCAAACGTGGATGGTTACATTATACGGCCGTTAGACCAGACCGCCGGCGAAGATTCCCGAACGATACAGTGTCCGTTCCGGCAAGGCTAGAAGTACTTGCAAACAGCTTCAGACACTGGTCGGGTATGCGAAGAAATGAAAACACAGCTCCGGCTCACATGGGACTTCCCTTGAACATCGGCCGCGTACTCAAGTATTATCGGAGACGTCCTACCGATCGCATCCACACTAAACCGAAGCCTGAAACCAAAAAGGCCAACAAGGGCAAGTCCGGCCCCAAAACTAAGGCTGAGCCTGCGAAGGAAAAAGAGGGCGATGCTACCAATTCCGCCCCTACAGAAGAGATTGGGTTGGCAGATGACACCACTTCTACAGACAAAGATGACACTCCTTCAACGGACAAGGATGACATTGCAGATGGAAACAGATCCGCCGCAGATGAAGAGGACGACTACGATCCTTGGGGCAATAAGGACATATGGGGGAAGCATTACGCAGAATACGATACCCATCGCTTGATGAGGCGGCAGTATTTCCGCAGAAACGCACCCTGGAGCCCCCGTATCGCCAACACAGCCACAACTACCACTAGGCACCAGCGACCAACAGGGCCGGCTTAGGCCATGGTGCATATCCTCGTCAACATGAAATCACATACGAGAGTTTGTATTCAGAAAGTATCACATTCGATCGTCGGGAAGGGATCTTAATAGTAATCTTTAAAAAAAATTCACCGTCACTTTCTATGATTCTTTATCCTCCAACATGAATGTATTGAGATTCTTCTCGCTCGCTTGTTTCCTATTGTCCTCCAATTTAACGCCTCGCTTTATATTCAAACGCAACATGTATCCACCTAGCCGCTCATTTCAATCATCCTTAACGTATCTCTCATAGGTCATCGTCATCCCAATCGACCTCGTCTTCCACGTCCCTACTGTTGTACAACGCGCGCTGCGCTGGGGCTGGGACAGGTACTGGCGGCGGTGTTGCAGTCTCGTTCTTAGCCTTCTCCTGGATCGGGGCGTCGACTTCAGGCCTGATCTCGGGCTTCTCAGTGTCCTGCTTCACCTCCGGGTCCGACTGTTGTGGGATCGGCGCTTTTGGCCCCTTGATTTCGGGGATCTTGGGTGGCTGCTCATCCGCTGCAGGAACTACTGCATCCGTGTGAATAACTTGTGCCTGCTTTGATGGCAACTTTTCCTTCTCAGTGGGAGGAATTATAGCCGTCTTTGCCTTCTGGGTCACCGCTGTAGCAGGAGTGTGACCACCTTAGTCTTAGCTGCCGCAGTCTTTACTGGAGCCGATCGGACTGTCAGCGCGCGCGAGTGGGAGTCGTTGTTCGACCAGACGTAGGTGGTGTCACAGATGCCCGCGGTGCAGGTGCAGGTGCCGGTGTAGGTACAGGCCGCGGCGCAAGGGCAGATCGTCCCGGGATTGCTCCTGGAACATAGACCGCGGTCGCGCCAACAAGATCTTCCTCAATGTACAAGCCCTCCCAGTCCGAGTCCAAAGGGAGATAGTCCCCGACGTTCTTCATGTCGAACCACCCAATGAAGTAGTGTTTTCCTGTCTCGTTCAAATCGACGCGCTGTCCGAACGCTCGACCAGTCTCGTAGTCTTGGAAGTACACATTGACAGTCACGTGTGGGGTTAGACCCAAGTCGCCCTCCGGTACATCAGGAAGAATCTCCTTTGGATGTCTGTTCGTCTGCTCCCTTAGCCAATCGGGTTCCTGGGTATTCTTGATGGTTCGACGGGTATCTGCGCGAGCTATCACCGCCCCGACCCACGCGGGCTTCATTCCGTTGAAGCGAACGGGCTGTGTGTCAGGATAACCAGCAAGTGTGAGGTAATCAGCCACAACTAGCAGGCCGAGATCAGTCGCCACGTAGAGCTTGCCGTCTTCGTGAAGGTAGAGGTCGATGTCTTCGATGACCTTGACACGGCCTCTCAACTTCACTTCGTTTCCGTTCGCGTCCTTGGGAGGCTTGCGTCCAAGGTCTTTAGTATTGAGACCGCGCTTCAGCAATATGAAAGCATTCGCCTTCAGCTGGGGTGATGGGTCGTTGAGCAGGTCAGGCGAGTCCATGTGCTGAATCTGTTCGGACATCATGATCGGGACGCTGTCGTCGTCGTACTCCTTGAAAGTAGGTAAGAACTCCAGATTGGCCACAACAGGGTTAACTGCGAATGCATCTTCAACACGAGGCTCACGTCCTGGCTTCTGCGGTGACTGCTGCTTCTTCTTCTTCTTCTTCTGAGGTGGTGATGTTGGCATGCGTGAATCGTTCACACGCTGCTTCTTCTGCGGTCCAATCGCAGGCTCATCTACGTCCTCAATCTTTCGCTTCGCATTGGCTGGACTTCCTTTGCGTGCCGGTGAGCTCACAAGGATCTTGTATGCCTTCTCGAGGTTGCTCGTTGTCTGCGGCTGCTGCATGCTTCGATTTGCCTCTTGTTCGGTAGAAATCGACTTCTGCTGACCTTTATTGGCTGTCCATTTGTCCTTCTTCTGCTGCTGGTCCTGCGTGTCCCAAGTCATGCGCGTCGGTAGTGCAGCTCTCGGTCCGCGAGGTGCGCAATCCGTTGCGGCCTGTACCATAATATTACCATTCTCTTTCTTCTGGGCGTTCTTCTGGACTTCCACCTCCTTCTTGGTACTGTCGAATCTTTTATTCTTGTGCTTATGTTCGCGAGCTTGAGCTTGATATTTGCCGTCAGGTGTACCCCGACTAGCAAGAGTATCATGACCTGGGAGAGCGGAACGCTGCTTATCATCATGATTCAGGTCACGCTCCTGGGTGTCTCCCCGCTTGCGTTTTCCCTGTCCACTATACGATTGCTCGACTTTGGAAGTCAGCATGGGTATTCCATCACGTGTCATACGCTGAAGCAGGGAGGGTGCCGCACCTTGCGGCTGCTGTGGCAGTGTACCGAACCGCTCGTCATTGCTCGAATCACGGCCTCGTCCGCCGCGTTGGTTTTCTCTGGAATGTCGAAAACTTCCGGTACGTTCCGCTTGACGGATTCTTCCGTCATTACCTTGCGCCTTTGATTGTGGCACAGGTTGCTGTATGCTAAGTACTTTGTTGATGTTTTCGAGCGGCCAGTTCCCACGTCGAGCCTTGCGGCCGTCTCTCGATTGTTTGCGCATTTTCCCAGATGAAGATTGTGTATTTGCGTGTCTCTAAGTAGTTGCGCGAAGTGCCAATGGTAGAAGTGGTTGAAGAGTCCGAAAGTTTGATGGAGGCGAGAAGGGTGCTTGCTGGAGTGAGTAAGACAATGAGCGTAACAACGACCCTGTGTAGAACTCGGTCGCGCTAGCTAGCGCAGGAAATCGACGGTCCTTTTCTCGCACATTCACCTCGTTTCACTCACAAGGCGCCAGTGTTCTCATTGTGGGACCCTCAGAGTGGGGCACGTGACAATATGCGCCAGGCAGGAGCAAACGGACAAAAGCCCCAACCCGGAAAAAGCTGTTCCCTTGCTTATCCCGGAATACCAACCATATTTATCAACAACTTCATCGATATGGAACTTAACTGTATGATGACCGAGATCGACGCGATCGAATCCGAGTCCACCAAGAACACACATCGATCGGGAAATCTGACGGAGGTGTTCGACGTCTCTTACATGATACGTGGAAAGCTGCTTGAAGGACTATCCTCTGTACTCCTCACATCCCATACCTGTACAGACTTCGATATCAAACACCAATTGTCTACTGCGAAGGGTATGGTCAACGCCGATCGAATGCGTCAATTGTTAGAACAGGCAGAAGACAGCCACCGACACTTCTCGATTGAGTTTCCTACCTGGGCGCTTACGGCTGCATCTCCATTGTTCAAGCAGTGTCATGAGGCGCAGCCAGGGTTAAGCGCGATCCCGGTTAAACTAGGTAATCTCCTGCCCGGCTACGTTATGTGCGTCTTGGACTGGTATGGGCACGCCTTGCAGAACAAGCACTGGAACGATTTCCTCCCAGAAAGTCCCTCTGTCGATGGTCACGACAAATGGTACTGGGTGTACTGCTATGCGGCGATGCGCGTGCTCGGTTTGAACGACTTTGCAGCACAACTTCAGATGTTCATCGAGAGCATTATTGATGATCTTGCCACAAACATCAGCAACTATGCGCATCTACTTAACACTCTGAGGGCAGACGACCCGATCATGTTTCAGCTGGCTTGGTACACTGTTATGAATTTGCAACAGCCGTCACCACATCTCACCCAATTAGACTGCGAGACACTGGCAGAACACTTCCCACAGTTCGCAGGTCTGGTCAACACGATTCTCCAAGCGCACTGAGGGCTTGTCTCATTTGTGTAATAGTGTCATGAAGACAAAGCCTCGAAAGTGTGAGACTTTGATAGCAAGACATTGGCCATCTGCGGTCTCAGATTTAGCAAACGCTAAGCTCAGCCCTCCGTCATAAATGAGAGCCCTTTTCCTTTCTTTGACTCCTCCCCATCTTTACTGCCGGCATACTGGTCAGCATTCCCAGCCAGTGTTACTACCCGAACAATTACCCTTTCATCGGACCGCCCGATTTTACCTTTACAACATGCCACAAGAACCACATACAACGCTATCCGATATGTTTGGTGTCTACTATCTCGCCAGTGGTCGTCGGGGTGCTCTATCTGAGCGAGGAGGTCAAGACCAGGGAGGGAAAGACAAGAAGTAGACACACCATTGATCAATTGAATTGACGCCCTGCCAGGCCTAACAGCCAGTCCGTATCACATATTTTCTTGCAATGATTCCGTCTTTATATTTTGGCCGTGTAGTAATTTACAACCGCCACAGGAGATATCTGTTGTTCCGGAGTCTGATTCTTTCCATAGCGCCTTCGCACAATGTCCAAATCAACCCCAAAATTTGTCCAAGGTCTTTGCAATTCTATATAACATGTTAAGTCGCCGTTTTGACTGTATCCGGTGCTTCAGTTGGCCTTGCCAGGCACAAGTGCATCCTTATGCCATTTAGTAGCCAACAGTCGCTCTCGGTAAAGCCACCCAAACCCTACCGTTACACCCGGACCGAGTGCCACGAGCGATGCTACACCCTTGAGCAAAATACTGATCCAGCTATCCGCCATCATATCCACTTTCTTTAGATCGCCATATAGATACAGTAGCCACAAAAAGCACGCGGCCATGACGCAAAGCTCATCGACTTGCAGGAACATACGGATGTATTCCTCTCCTGTTTGGCCAGGCGCAAGATTGGGAATGAAGATCGTCTTCAAAGAGTAGGGTGCCGAGTAGAGGGTGTACCACCACACAGTCGAAGCTAGTGCGCAGAGGCTTCCGATCGTGTACGTGATAGTTGGAATGTCCCGCTCTGTCTGATCAAGTTTGTCCTTATGCACTGTATCGGGCATGACGGTCTTCTTCAGTACAAACTGCAGGATACTGATGTAAAGTGGGAACAGCTGCCAAATCCAGTTCCACATATGGCGCGTTTGCGGCTCGATGAAATTCAAGGTGCTACTGAAGCTTGGAACATAATGCGCGAGAATCATTGCCGGAAGGACAGAAGCTGTGTAGCTCATATCGGTAAGACGCATATCCCGGGCTCGGAAGTTCTCGATAGGCGACTGGACGTAGAATATGAAAAAGTAGATGGGCAGGAGTACGGCCATACCTATTTTGTTAGCATTTGCGGCTGCGCGACAAGCTCATGGAGGCCGCGTACCGATAAGTTGCATGCCAAGTCCAAGCACAACTAGGAAGGAAGCGAAAGTCATGATGTTGGCTCGGCGCGCGCTCTCGATGAGGAGGATAGCGTAGACGATCCCAGCATCCATGAGGAAGCTGAAGCCCTGCCAATTGGCGATAGGGTCAACGAACTGGAAAGAAGCAAAGCATGCTGCGAGGCCTCTAATCTTGCTATCAATAGCTTCAATACCGTAGAAGTTGCGCATCGGCTGCACAAAGCCTGACTGACCAAATCTGTTCTCTACTCCATGTTCCAGAACCTGTACAATGTGTGTACGCATTGGTGGAAGCGCAGTCTGATACTGGTTAGCGTGTGTTTGGCTACAATCTTTTGCATACAACTTACTCCCACCATTAGATATACTGCAGCTGCAGTAATGCCCAAGAATGGGAGCGCTTTTAACGCACGTAGCAACTTTGACTCCTGCATCCCCGAGCCTTGCGATGGATTAAACGGCATCGTCCCTCGTAGTGATCGTTCAGGTACAGGCAGGTAGTCAAGTCGCACAGCACCAATGATTGTATCACAACTGATGTCTGCGAGCCTGAGTCTCATTAGTTTTGAGGTGCCAGGCAAAAACCCGCGAAAGCTGAGGGGGTGTTCGGCCCTTATATGCCTGTCGGCTCCCATACTTACAAATCCATGCTGAGGGGTAAAACCCACAAAGCAACCAGCCGGTCCTTCCACGTTGTGAGTGCTTGAGTGCGAGTCAAGTCATTAGATGCGTTCACGATGGCTGTTGTGCGCTGCTCCCGGCCGCTCTGATACTTGCTAAGGTGGTACTTAATTGCATCAAATGATGGCTTACCTTTCTCAGAAGCATCAACCATCTTCTTAATCTCGTTAGCTATGGCTGCAGCCGATCTATTTGTTGTCAGCTTGTGTTATTCGCACCGGTCAACTTTCTGCTTACTCAACCGCAGCATTGCCGCCCGCACCCATATTGGGCGTCATTTTATGGACACAATCACCAGCGCAAGCAATACGCCCCCAAGTCCAGCGTCTCATTTGTGCCTCTTCCGTGGCCACGAGAGTGAATGTTTTTCGAGTTCTCCAGAGTTCTTCAAATTCCAGGCCATCGCAGATGGGAGCGTCTTCGAAGCTGGAAGCATAAACCTCGGCGTCATGTTTAGTGTAACGAGGGATGTTCGGAACTGTGTAGACTTTGTCCAGTTTCTTGAAAACGAACCAGAACACCTTGTCCTTACCGCAGATAGTCAAAAAAGAAGATCCTTGATCGTAGTTGATATGGACTTCGCCACCTTTAAGGATATCAGAAGCTTCAGAGATACCAAACAAGCATTGATACTCAGCCATGAGCATTGTCTTCTCTTTGATGTCGAAGGCAGTAGGGTCCTGTGACGTGGCAAATCTCCATAGCGCCTGGCGAACAGTGCTGTTGACTCCGTCGCATCCAACAAGGATATCGCCACTGACCGCAGTACCATTTTCACAGAGAACAATAACCTCTTCCGAATTATGGTCCACGTTCGTTATGCGATTTCCCAGTCGGATTTTGGACTTGTTCTTAAGGTTCTCATATAGGTACCGGAGCAACTTCTCGCGCTCAAGGAACGTGAAGGGGTAATTGTGTCTAGGTGCACATTAGATATTTCAACGCTACGTCATGCGAGAAACCAGTTCGAGCATTTTTTGATGATGCTATTCCGGGTCTCATATCTCTTTTGCATCAAAGGCGCGAGTTCGCTGGTGTTTATCAATCGTCCATCTTTGTGGCGGTTGTACGTCAGTCCCATAGGAACAGTCTCTTCCTCAATCTTTCCGAATACGCCACTATAATCCAACGAATCATGCATCAGTGGTGGCTCCAGAAAATTTCATGAATGCCTATAGCTGGTGGAAGATGCGATTTCCATTTGGTTGGATGCCAATCGACGCTCCAACTGGAGGTGAGATCGTGTCGCGACCTTCCACGAGGAGATAGTCAATTCCGGCCTTCTCCAATGCATTTGCAAGAGTTAAACCTGCAATACCACCTCCTCCTATAATGACACGAAAAGGTCTAGTATCTTTCCATGGCTGAGCTACCTGAGATAGATGAGGAGGCACTTGTGCTTGGGGAATGCTATAGTCGGACGCAGAAAACTTGAGGTAGGTAGGTTTTAGGATGTAGATGAAAACCTGTGTCTTTCTGGGTATCAATCTGTATGCTCAGATGTCAGTTGTTATATAGTGTTGAAAGGAGCATACAACAGTCCCGGATGAGAAAGTCTCAATGGGCCGAGATGCAATGGTATCGCCGTGACGCTATCTAGGTAGGTAGACATAGTGCGAAAAAAGCCGGTATGGCCTCGTGCCGTGGAAACCGATGCACGCACCGGGCCATCTGCCGCGCAACTTTTCCTAGGCACTGTTTCAGAAACGGCCCGCGGACGTCTTCGATAAGTAACCCAACCACTCAGCGGCGGTCAATGTTATGGTCAACTCTGTTCTCAACTCTGTTCTTGAAGCGCGCTTGTCTTGAATCAAGAGAGCTTAGTCACGTCTGTAGAGTGACGTGACCATCGCGAATTAGTTGAGAGGCACCTGGGCATGTGAAACACGGTTATGCGGCTGATCTTCGGAAAGATAGCGATGCTTTTGCATCTGAGTGGCGTGTCAGGGCACTTCGCATTTGGTCCTTGGAATAGCCAACAGTCCAACTATTCATAAAAAATCTTAAGGGGTCGGTTTTCGTCCGCTAGAAAGACTTCAAGGTTCAAAATCCTGTATCCCACACTCTACTGTCCAGCTTCTGAGTAAATTGGCCAATGGCTTTGGAATTGACCGGACAATCAACGGTTTAAGGTGTGTCGATCCCGCTCCTTCTACCCAGGTCGGTAATTGGTATAGATATTCTACAATGTCAACAGCCCTTTGTGTTCTTTCGGTCAGCAAATTGGCTCGAAAAGTGTGCTGTGCGCGGATTCTGCGTTCGTCATTGATGAAAGGCACTGGATCTCATTTGATAGCGGTAGCCACCCTATGTTCAGCTACTACCCACTAGAAGTTCTGTTCCCACTAATACTAGATACATCTGGAGCACCAACTAATGCCAAATTCTCGATGCCGGCAACACCGTACAAAGCTGCAGCATTTGTGCTTACCCATTTTGCCTCGTCGATGGGAAGCAGGACCTCACTCCCGCCAATTGTTTCCGTCTTCCAAGGCGCATTTGGCGCAAGTCCGTCTTTGCTTCCATCGCCTAGGTACTCCGACCAGACACGGGGGACAAGTGTCGCATTGTTGCGTCTGTTCGCGACATAAGCTGTATAACGAGAGTGTCCCTGCTTGAGGTTCAAGTTGCCAAAATCCCTGCCATAACGCGCCTTTTGCTCTGCCTTGGAGGCACCGTAGAAGTAGCAGTAGTCGAGGAAGGCATCAAGAAATGGCTGTGTGAGATTACGTTGGCCAAAGTGGTCAATGAGCTGATCGATCGTCTCAAGAACACCGAACACACCAGAAAGATGTGACACAGTGACGTTCCCATCGTTGCCTGGGTCCGTCGGTGGTGGGCTCCAAGCTCCAGTCAGTGAGTTGTACAGTGCTTCGCCGGTCACAAAGCCGTTTTTGAGTTTGGGGTACGTCTTGATGGCTTCAACGAGCTTGTCATGCGAATCTTGAGCACGAGGACCTTGTCGCTCCCATTCGATCAGGTAAGCTTGTGCGATACCCGCCCAGTCTGTGCCGAAATTTAGGTATAGAGCCTTCGGGTCCGGATTGTATACTACGCTGGGATCGCGCACTTTTCGTCGCGCGTCTACTCGGACGAATGATTGGTCGACATCAAGCACTTCGCGGATGATATCACCTGTGCGCTCATCTCCGCCAGAGATGTAATAGAACGCCTTCCTGTAAACCGGTGTAGCGATGCGAGCTTGCTTAGCTGAGTCGGCCCAGTGTTGGACGCCATGTCGAGTACCAAGGCCAGTGAAGTTTCCTAGATGATAAGAATCAACTTCGCCACCATGGCGCACTTGGTCATGGGCGAGGCGATATACATCAGGACGACCAGTCCGTAGAAAGTAGTCCCAAAAGAAGAGATCTGGCGACAGTTCCGAGTTATCCCAAGCATATCCACCAATGTCATAACGCCACTGGTGCCGATCGTCATCGTAAGTATGGATTATGTCTCCATGGTCCCAGAAGCCATACCACCGACGCTGCTCAACTTGGTTCTCGTAGAATTTGACCAAGAAATCCATGTTCGCCTCAATTTTCTGTGCTTGAGCAGAGTCGACAGCTCCTGGAACATTCCAGTACGATCCGATGGCTTTCGTATCGCGAATGTGCTTAGGATCTGGGAATAAGACAGGTGGATTATTGGTATTGTTTGTAATCGTTGACAGATGAGTCGGCGACGGAGTTGTGTCGAAAGCGTAAAGGTATAGCTCGTTGGTTCGGCCAACGCCATACGGAGTATTATAGCCGTTTTCATAATCCTCGTAGGTAATCTCCAGCGCATCCAGCTGTTTTGCGTATGTATCTTGACCCAGTCCATCATGATAAGGACGTAAATCCATTGGTCCTGCTTGAGGACTGTAAAGCCACATGGTAATCGATCCTCTATCTGTGGCAGCATTCGAGATGTCTAAGCTCGTAGGATATTTCTTCCAGAAGTCGCGTAGACCAACAGCCAGACCTCCAACAGTGGCTCCACCAAGGTAAGCGAGACCACCTGATCGAGTGCCTCCAGGGATCTTGACCCAACTCTGACCAGCTTTTGTTCGTTTCTTCAGATTGAAGCCATCGGGTGACAGTTGACTCAAACGAAAATCGCTCCAATTTGGGATCCATTGAAGTCGGTTCGTCACTCTTGAATCCCACGAGCCCTTTTCGGGGGTTGCTGTTCCATTGAACTGAGCAGATCTCACCGCCGCGCCTGGGTCACGTCTAAGGCCTGTGATGCCTTTAACCGCCTCGCGTAACAGGCCTCCATCGACGCCAGCAATGCGCACATGACGATTGTGCATTTCTTCGTCTGCCAAGGGGACATCGAAACGGATGCCGATGCCAGAGATGAAATCCTTGCTTGAGTCACCATCATAAATGATGGTGTGTATGATGCGGATTGCCTCAGAGTTGGCGTACAAATAGAAGCGCACCGTAAATGGTAGCCAGTCTTGATGGCCGCTTTCCCCATCTAATCCGTGACTGCCCTGAACAGTGACCAGCGCTCGTGCTGTGTTTTTTGAAACCGTGACGTTTGATATCTTGCTCGTAAATGTGAAGTACTCGATGCCAGTTGGTTTGCCATCCTCATCATCGTCAGGTGTACCATTTTGAGACCTCAAGACAAGGTGCCCATTGAGACCAACTGTCTTGTTACCTGATCGAATGGATGAGACCAGGGTGTTTCCTTCCTTGGGAAATGTCGCTGCAATTTTTCCGGTATTTACTACGATCTTGTCCCCGTCATCGCGCACTTCGACTCCCTGGCTTTGCCGTCTGTGGTGCGATACTGTCGAGTTGATGGGTCCAGAGGCGATGATAGTATATTCGCTGGCTGGAGATTCTGTCGCGGTAAGGGCGTGTCCCGTCCACTTGAGCGAGCCATCGGGCCAGACTGCCGTGGCCCAAGATTCCAAGTTTGCGTTACCCGAAGCAGTGAAGGTTGTCGCGTTTGCTGGATGCTGTCCTTTTTCCCAAGGCAATCCAAATGTCACGCCAGATATGTAACTTGGTTTTCCTTCCAGCCATCTGACCTTCACGCTGCTAGTTTGAGCTGTAGCATAACCGATCAGTAGGCTGGCTAAGCCTATCGTACATCTCACCATTGTGGGCAGGTAAAGAACAACACAGGTCAAGAGTTTGCGCAATTTCCTATCTATGTTGGGATGCAGTTCAATTTGTACCTGCACTTCACGCCCTATGAACGAACTCGCCTCCTTCACGGGCTTCATGTCGCCATCCAATATCCGGTGGATCATCTCGACTGAGGCAGGATGCATATCAACTAGCCCATAACCACTTGCCTAACAACCTCGAAGAGTTTCCGGAAGAATGCAATGTAGCTTTGGGGTAGCCTTCTGCAGGGGACGCGGAGAAAGCTGCTCACCTGGGCAGGTGTGGACCGCTTACCGTGCACGGACACTGGGCGCCTATCCTAAAACTAAAACGTGTTATTAATACTAACTTTAACACGTTATAACTCTACTACTATAGATCTAATTTAAGCTATAATTAAAGATATTAAATTATATAAGCTAGAAGAACGTTTTATATATATAGAAGTTACTATAAAATATAATATTAATTATATAATATTAAGCTAAAGATATAGAGGTATATAAGCTATAGTAGGCACCTAGCTACTAAATAGATATAAACTTAGCCTACTATAAGAGTTAGAGCTTATACTATATATTAAAAAGCTTACTAAGTAAGGCTTATCTTCTATAAGAGAGATAATTAGAAATTTTGCCTTATCTATAGCTAAGAAGAAGATCTCTAAGCGCTAGGTTTTATACTTTATTAGCTAGAATAAAAATAAGCTTATCTTAAAGAGGACTAGCGCTATAGATTATACGCATTACTAAGCTAATTCTTATATTAAATATTAAGCTTACTTTAACTTTCTATATAAGAAGCTTAATAAGTATTATCTTAAGGCTAGTAATATATATAATATAGATAAGAAAAGCTTTCTTATTAGAATTATTAAAATAAGTAAGAGAGTCTTTAGTAAATACTAATAAGATAAGAAGAAGATTAGAGTATTACTTTAAGATAGATTATATAAATTTTTAATACTTCTAGCTTATATCTGCACTAATAGAAGCTTACTACTACTAAGCTTTATCTATATATTAACTTAGAAAATAATTAAATTAAACTAAGTAGAAAGAATTACTATAGAGAATTATAATATCTTTATTATATTATCTTAATTAGATTAGAGTAATAATAATATTAGTTTAGCATAGCTTAAGTAAGTATTTAATTACTATATAAAGAATAAACTAAGAAGATAGTAATTACTTATTCTTAATAGCTATAGATCTTATCTTATCTCTAAGTTTCTTAAGTATTATAACTACTATAAGATTCTTCTAATAGTATTTCTTTCTTATTTAACTTATATACTATAACTACTAGATATAGTAATATTTAAGCTACTTTTATTAAGCTACTCTAATAAGCTTATTTAGTATCTTTATAATACTTAGAGCTTTATCTCTATTAAGAAAGAAGACTTTTTCTCTCTTTTCTAGTAAGCTTAGAGCTTATTCTTTAAAGAAAATACTATCTTAAAGACCTTTAAAGCTACTAGTATATAGCTAACTAATCTAAGAGTTATTCTTAATAGATTTAGAATAATATCTAATAAGAACTCTAGTAAGCTATTCTATCTCTCTCTAAGTAATTAGAATTAGCTATAGTAATTAGTATAAGATGCTACTAAGAATAAAGCTTAGAATAGAGTAAGAAAGCTTAGTATTCTACTTTACTACCTTTAAGTTTAAAATAAGCTACTCTATTATAAGAATAAGTAACTAAGAACTACTCTTTTATATAAGTAAAAGTATAAGAGTAAAAGTAAAGCCTTTAACTTTTAATAGCACTAGAAGTATTATAGTAGTACTATCTTCTAGTTCTCTTATAAGTTCTATAAAGCTTAAGCTTAAGAAGTAGTCTATAAGTAAGAGAAAATAGAAAAAAAACTCTAAAAAGTATAAGCTAAGAAGTAGCGTAAAAAGACTTAACTATAGTATTAAGCAGAGTAGCAAATAGGTATAGATTAGGTTATAGTTAAGTATTATATAATATAAACTCTAAATTAACTTAATCTATACCTAAACTTTCTAGCTAGAATAAGTATAAGTTAAGTTATAGTTATAAATATTTAAGTTATAGTTAAGTTTATAGTATATAAGTATATATAAGTCTTAGTTAGCAATTTTTTCTTTATAGTAGAAGTAATATTTTAGTAATATAATAGTTATTATAGTTATTTATTATAGTAGAGACGTATTTATATTCTAAACTTCTTAATTATATAGAGAAAGTAGCTAGCGCCTATGCTGCGTTAGAAAAAGTAAAAAGTGTCTAGTTAGTAGTGTCGCTGCAATTCGCCGTCAATTTAACAGATATAACGATTTAACAAAGTTGCTCTAGTCACTTTTTTCTAACGTTAGGTTAACGTTAGAACAGTCTAGTTACTATTCTCTACTGTTTAGCACCGTGTAGCTACATTGCTTAACTGTGCTTAGTCGTTAGACTTAGCATACTAAACATTCTATATACTCTGTAAAGAGCAGAAGAGGTAGACTACGTTAGTTGCGCATGTTTTATAAGTAGTCTAAGTCCTCTGTGCAAATATAGCTGCAGCTATTAGGCTTACTCTGTCTGTAATCTAGTGCTATTAGAGATAGAGTCTTGTATCTGTAACTACGTGCGAGCTAGTTCTGCACAGTTAGCAACTATATAAGACAGTGTCGTCACTCTAGGAACTACAGTAGACTTAATGCATTTCAGAAACATAATTATATAGCTATTAATTGCTAATTTGCTCTGCATTATCTATTCAACTATTACACAGTACTATATAGGTTAGAGCAGTTTATCTCTTCTTCGTATCTTTCTACTAGAGCGTCGCAGTCTTCTAGCTCTAATTCCTATTCGTCTTTCGTCAGCGCTAAGGCGTGTATAATACAATTATCTATCATATATTTCTCTGCTAATATAGTAAACTTGTCCTACGTGCTGTCCGTCATAATGCTCTAACCTTTCCCTTTATTCTAAAACTATACTTGCTCGTCGTCGTTATATATTATACTTTCTATAAAGTCGTTAGCTCCACGAAACTCTCTAAGCAATATATCGTGTATTTCCCCTAATAATTCGCGCAGTTGCACTCTAGTCTCTTCCTGTTATCTGTTAGCTTTTGCTCTTATATTATATTAGGCATCTTGCCTCTCTCTCGTTAGCCTCTATATCTTCCTTATTGCTATAACTAGTTCTGCACTTATCTACAGTAAAGATGTTATCTTCTCATTTCCCTGCGCGATTATAGTCTTCTATTAATGTATTATATCGTTGCCGCTTATTATCTATATATTTTATAAGAATGTTATCAACGTCGTTGTCGTGATAGTTATCTAGCATAGTAATGTTAGATCTAGAGTTTTCAATGTAGTTCGCGTGTATAGCTATTTATTATTTTAAAGCGTCCTAAATAAGAAGACAGTATATCTTACTCAGCCTTTTCTACTTCTTGCAGATAGCGTTATAATTATCTATACTATATTAGCTATTATTGTTTAGTGCTATTGTAACATACCCTCTACAGTATAACTATAGAAATAAATTGTCTTCCTCGTTCTATTATTATAGTACTCTTTGATAGCATTATATAACACTATGCCTATAAGCGCTATCATGTTAGCGCTTAAGAACTAAAACTTATCCTAGTTCCCTGCTATAGCACTAATACTCTATTTTCTATTATTATAGAACGCTCGCGCTATAATAGCCGCAATTGCACTATTTAGGAACTAGAGCAACGCGGGCTATTACTCTATAAGCTAATGCTATCGTATTCTAGATTAACTTACATTTCTAGGATCCTAGCGCAGGTAGACAAAATCCTAGAGCAGCTTACTTAGTTTAAGGACTTGCAGTTCAAGATAGTTTAGAGCATATATAGCTATAACTTCTATGCGTGCTTATCTTATTATATGCGTCTGCAGGTTGCGTACACATATCTAACATCTAATAAGTACTGTTAGCTATAGTTGTAGATAGTCTGCAACTATACTTACTTAGCAGGCTGCACTCCTGCAGAGCGTAGTCGCTATAGATAAGCAGACTAGCAGAAGCGCTGTTTTCTAAGCCTCTAACTATGCGTCTAGTATTAGCTATGCGAATACACTTCTGTAAGCGTCTAGCTACAGATTAACAGGTGTATTATATAGCGTCATCCCGTTGTTTGTTAATAACTGCAATAACAATATTACCTAAGCCTTATTAAGTGTACTTTTGTGTTTAGGTTGCACTAGTTCTCTCATCTAGCGTTTTTGTGTTCTCTATAGCATTTAATAAAACAGGTCTGCTAGATAAGACAGTAGAAGGAAGGCTTATGCATGTAAGTTAACATAAACTACTTTAGTAATTATAGTATCTTTGCTTATATTGCACAGAACGCAGTGCGTTCTTCTATATTTAAGAGGTATGCTGCGTAGCAGCAGTGTTCTATTTTAGTTTATATTAACTAATCGTTTTTATTCTAGCTTAATGTCTAGTCTCTATAGATTGACTAGTGCGCGAGGGTGCAGGCGTCTCTTTATTAGAACTAGTATATCTTCTAGGTTCGTAGGTTTAAGACTATATAGAAGTTGCTAAGTCTTATAAGTTTAATTGTAGTATAGTCTCTCGTAATAAAGATAGTAGAGTTACGCTTTGCATAGTTCTCAATTTTCTACGATTCTTAGTCTTACTATTAGTGTTAGTATCTGTCTTTAATACAGACCTTTACGCTCTCTTATGTCTAACTAAGCAGCTGCGCTCTCTTTATAGGAGGTAGTGCTATGCTGCCGCGCACCTGCTAGTTTCTTATATTCTTTACTATAATTACGCGTTTTTCTGTGTAGTACGCAGGTTTATACTAGTAAAGAATCGCGTTCAGTCTGCAAAGGATTAGTTATGTCTTAAAGAGTGTATTAGAGCATGCAGATACTCCTAAATTATTGCGCTCTCTATATAGTTTTGCAAGAGGTTATCTGCTATGCTGTATAATTAGTAGATATACTGTTGTTAACTATCCTCTAGTGTTGCCTACAGTTAATTCCTATTAGCACGTCTTAGGAGCGCTTATCTATTGCCTTATTAGGTCTATTTAGCTTAATTTATTTAAATTACAGCTATATTCTTAGCGTTATTAGTACACCTAACGATATAATATGTCTGTAGCATCAAGGAAAGAGCACAG